TATTGTTACGCTTGGAGAACAAGCAATGAAATCGTTGAAGTAGATCATTAATATGTATGCAGTGCTTTCACGGTTTGCATATACCGGCTGGCTGTGAGATGGTCTCTGTCTTGACAGGTAAGGATGGAATCACAGTCATCGATGGGAGAGAGAAAGAGTTTGAGAAGGACCCGGAGAAGTTCAAGAATTTTCTCGTGGAGATGGGGAAAGGGAAACATGTCCTCGTTGATGAGGTTCCCATCACATTAGGGTTTCAGGGCCTACTCACATCAGATGCCTTATCCGCACATTGGACTTGGATGGTCGAGTTGCAGGAACATTTCAAGTCTATTACTCTCGCATTCAGACCCAATGACCAGTCCTACTACAGAGACTTCCCCCTCCAAGATGTAAAGCCCGGAACCATTCAGATAGACGTCCTTGACCGTGTGAAAAGGAATAGCAGGAAGATATCAGAGCTGTTCCAGGCGATTGGTGATTACTTTCGCCGGATCTTCATATCCCATGAGAAAACCCTTCCGATGGACATGAAAGAACCTGGGGGTGAATGCCTCCCTTCTCTCTTCACGATTCCTTCTTGCAGCGTCCTTCATCCGAACGGATGTGAGGACAAAATGTTCTGCTGGACCATGAAAGCTTGCCATGTCGTTCAAATCTTATATGCAAGATGCACCAGAGTGCAACATATTCCACTCTTTGTTGTGGTTGATGATGATGTGAAGAAAGCCTCTCTTGTGAACATGCTTTCTTCCCAAGATGACACAGTTCTTCCTCTCTTTCTCGGGGAGTTGCCTCAGCTGAAATCACAAGAGCAAAATCGAGGGTCGAACGAAAAGGAAAGTGAAGAGAAAAAAAGTGCAAACGGGAATGGAAAACAAGTAGAATTTCGCTGCTTTTCTTCTACTACGATTTCCTTGCCCAATCTCCTAATTGTCACAGAGCATGAAATGATCGGATGTCATTTTGATAACGTCACGGTCGTCCTGGACTTCCCACCATCTAAGTGGATAAATTATCTGCGTATGATAGAATCTAATGGAAATAACATGATCATCGTGATCGAGGAAGAAGATTTAGCTACTGGGAAATTCTCCCGCGTGGTGAAGGACATCCCTGACTGGAACATCATGAGGGATAGTACGACCATTGAGGATCTGACTAAAAAGCTTGAAATGTGGAAGAAAAATGAAGAGACAATTGCCCTTCCAGAGCATAAGGCCGTTCCTTTTACTCCTTCCTACCCAAGACCACAACCCTTTGAACTATGGCTAAAGGAAGACGAAGATGCTAAGAAACTTCTTAGCTCCTCGCTGAATGGAATCTTTGGTTACCCGGCCTCAGGAAAATCCAGGAGAGTACACAGAGTTGTCATGCAAGCGATGGCGCTCCAAGAGAAAGTGCTCTTTCTCCACGGCGGAGGTAGATTATCTCGGGAACTCTGCCGATGGCACTGGAGAACAGAGTCGAAGGTTTATGTTGTTGGCATTGATACAAACAAAATTACTTCATTTCGAGACATCCTGGAATTCACCGAAAGTGGGATCCTTGGCGAGGATAAGGAGGAAAGCTGGACCAGTGCAAAAGAAAACCTAAGCTTAATACCCTCAGTTGTTATTGTGGAAGATTGTCCTTTGTGGACGAAGATGGAGGAAGAGATTCCGCAAGCAGCAGAACAATTGAAGACAAAGAAGCTGAAGCTCATAATTTGCTTCAAATCCCACATGAAAAGTACCCACGGTATCTCGTTGCAAAGGATCCTTAGTGTCATGAAGGAAAATCCAGATTGCAATGCTTTCATGCTTAGCTCCGCCAGCACGGGAACTCATGTGAAGCTGCTCGACCACATCCAAAAAAACGAGACCTCCTCGCTTTTAAAACTGCAAGCAAAGAGTTTGCCCACATCCTCAATACCAGGAGCAATCGTCTATGGTCCTCCAATCCTGTATCTTACATACCAGTGCTCGGGGCTACATTGGGGGTATGTCTGTAATGGAGATGGCTCGTGCGGGAACATTGCCCCTATCTTGAGTTGGCTTCTCCGATGCGCCCTGTCGGAAATAAGAGGTGATAACGAAATAATTACCAGGTCGGAGGTGAGACAAAAAGATGAACTTTACGTTTTGAGTTCAGACGATAATCTGCTGAAGTTCATGGAAGAATGCTCTTTTCTGTCAATAAAGAATTGTGTCATACAATTCGTAAATTGCAAAAATTTTCGGGGTTGTGAAACTTCTTCCGTCATCTCCGTGAACGTCGGTGACGACTTCCTGCTTGAAGTACTGTCACGCAGCAGGACTCAGCTGACTCTAATAGACAACATCACGGATCACAAGGAACTATGGACAAAGATGATTGAAGAAGAGCGTGTCCAGCCCCTCTCGTTCACCATTGGTGAATGGCCAGATGACATGGAGATGCAACTACAGACTCTTATCGAATTTGACAAAGGACTCCACTCCCTCCAAGTGAGTTTCTGTCACACTATCCTATGTTCTAATGAGCAGACAATCCAGTTAGCACGGTATAACAATGCCTGAATTCTAAGCAAACATGACTTTTGTTGTCATCTGATGTACGACTGTAGTCGCTGACGTTGTACCTCGTCCATATGGAGGAGGGAAAAGCAAAATGCAGAATATTAAGGAGCGGAAAATATGTATTATCTTAGCCATTGGAAGAATATATTTTTCTTTTCTTTATTTCTTTCATTTAGGTCACCTTAAAGTCAAAGAAATGATCTTAGATCTTGTCTTGTACTTAAATGTCTTGTTACCTTTTACTTACTTCCCCCCCCCCTCACCCTAATCGCAATTCTAATTCATTATTTTTCTCATATCGAGAACTACTTGAAGATGGTGACGAATTTGCTAACGGAATCATGCCACCCTCCTCGCATGCGCAACACTTTCGATCCTATGGACTTAAAGAATATCACATTCTGAAGTTAAAAACATTCCAATGATTTAAAGCAACAACATAAATTGCGTAAATTGCATCCATCAATGGAACAGCTGAAATGGAAGCTTCTGGCAAGTTTTCTACGTGAATATTCATCCCACACCCTTGAATTTCTAATCGATTCCTTGATGCTTTAGTCGAACATATATGCCAAATATTATTAAGAAAGCTTAACTCCTTTTTGTGTCTCACTTTCATGTCGATAAGTATTGCACAAATTCTTGATTTTTCAGTAGACTTTTCCAGGTACGATTTGCACGGTGATTCAGATTTAATAAAATATCGCATATGTGTGTCGAATATAAGGTCAACGCTACCCTGCGGATTCTATTTGTCCCTTTCTATTGCGAAAAACTGAAGGGATTTAATCCAGTTTTTATTTGAATAGGAATCTGGAGGAGAATGCCAGATGTGCGACCAATTCTCCTTCTACGGAGAGTTGAAGTGCTATGAAAAGAGGGGAAACTTCGAATTTCCAGAAAATGTTAAAATATGCATGAGGTCTACCGATGGTAGGGACATGAAGGAAGCAATGGACACATACGTGCGACAGTATTGCTCCGAACCATATAGCAGAGCACATTCCTCACCTGAGGGATACATTTTGGGAGGCAAGAAACTCGAAAAATTTATGGAAATGGCTAAAAAAGGCAGAGAGAATATAGAACTGTTCCAGCTGCCCGATGCGATGGTGTTTCATCGTCTCAAAGATGCATTCAACAATGTGCCATCCCTGACAGGTACTCACTATGCCTTCAAAGAGAACTTCAGTCAGGGTGCCTCTCCAAAGCAAAATAAGCAAATACAAATAAAGCAAAAAAAGCGGGAAAAGGAAAAGCAAATACTTGATGGGGAGTTCGACGTCCTTCGGCGGCGTTATCATCATGATGTCTTTGTCGTTGGGATATCTGGCAATCAAGTATTTGGACTTTTCTTTCGAGTTAATGAATTATCAGAAACAGACCTGCACGAAGTCGTCGAAAGACATGAGATAAGCATGAGGCGAATCAAAAGAGACGTCAATGTTTTCAGGAACACATTTGGCGAATATCTGAATTCGAGCATAAAATTAGCTGGTTTTGCTGCTTTCCCCTTACTTTCGAAGATCTCATTGCGGGAATACATAAAATGCAGGAAATGCGAAGGAAAAATCCTTACTTCGGAAGATCTGGACTCCTCGGATAGCTTTTCGCGGTTTTTGAAGAAACAGGGAATTGTATTGGAAAAGTCCAGGGACAGGGACCCCGAATCTCCTGTTATGAAAACCTACAAATACATCTTCGATTTCTACATTTGTGTAGCATCATGTGTGGACCACCCACGCAACCCAACTGAGTTGTTCACCCAATGCAAGGAACTAATGACAATGATGCAGGTGCACCTTCCAAAGAAACAGAAGGAAATAGTAACGAGTAAAGAAAATACCATTTTCATATTTGGAGGAAGTGGAACAGGAAAAACGACGATCATTAAGGAACGAGCCTTGGAATTGGCTAAAGGAGGCGATGTCTTGGTGATCAACATGAGCGGAGGATTCCAAACAAATAAATTGCGACGCCTCTGCAAAGGTCAGAATGCGGCAAAAACGTCGTAATCTATTTTTATCGCTACGACATTTTTGCTATTCCATGACATTTCATGAGGGTAATCAATATTTATTTTTTTTAAACTAGAAAATGGAAAAATCACGATGTTGGAAAACCATGAGGAGGGGATCTCGGAATATAGATACTTCCAGGGATTACTCCGATTCTTGGAGGAACATGGTCGGGGGAAACATATCCTTATTGACCATATCCCCATTACATTTGGATTCCGAGGTCATCTCGACGAAAGACTTTTTTCAGAACACTGGAAAATGATCTTCCGCTTGAAAGATCAAGTGAAGAGCCTCACATTTGCTTTCCGCACCTATGATAGCAGCTACACAAACGAGATCAATATCCAAAAAATCATGATACCAGGCGTCCAAGTTGAAATTCTAAATGACATCAGAACCAAAACACGCCATTTAACTAAATTTGTACTGGCTCTTGAGAGTTACTCTAGCCGAAAATTCATCTGCAAGGAGCCCAGTATGAAGGGAATCGATTTCTGGTATCCTGAAAGGGAATTTTTGCCAACCATATCCTCAATACCTTCTTGTCGGACATTCCACGACGTTTGCCGGAACAAACTGACCTGCGAGGCTGTGAGGACTTCCCATTCCATAGCAGAACTTCTGTGGAGTGGTTCCATCAACAAAGAACGGCCTCTTTATATAGTAGTGGATTGCATGGAGCGTCGAAATCGTCTGGGAAACGCCCTTACTACTCTATATGGAATCAACGTCATTTTCATACACGAGGATGGAGATTCTTGGGGGAAAATATCTAATGAAAACCCATTCTCCGTTATAATTGTGACCGATGATCAGACTCTTGGATATCACATGGAGAACCCAGTCCTCATCCTCGACTTGCCCGATT